CACAATACAAAGGTGGCCCTGGGGTACATTACCCCTGCACCCCTGATAGCATTGGTTCTCCCAGGTCAGCCCAGGGCAGCAGAGACTGGGTGTCATAAAGGAAGGTTGGGGGCTGGTGTAGAGAGGTGGGTGCCCTGCAGCTCTCCCCACCCCATGCCTACTGGCTGGGCTGTCCCCAGCTCCTCTTCTGGGCATTGGCCTTGCACCCCAAATTAGGCCTTGCTTGGCTGGCTACCCTTGGGGCTAATGACATGTACCCCACAGTTCAGCCACTTTCAGGTCCCCAAAGCCTGCACCCGCACTCCTGGGCCCGCACTAGTGGGCTGCCCACCAGTGCTAAGCAACCTGTGTGCTTGGTCCTCCAGCTACACGCCCCTTGGAGGGCAGAGGCAGCTTAGATAAGGGTGCATGCCTGCGGTGGGTCTCAAATCCGGCCTGGGGCAGCAAGGCCTGGGCCCACAGCCCTGCCTTATCTGTTTGTTTTCCATTGGACACATCCGCTGGGCTGGCCCAGAGGGAGCCCCCGGCAGGCAGGGGGAAGGAGGGGGCAGTTGCTAACGCAGAGGCTGAGGGCGGGACCATGTGCGAAGGATGGGGGCCGCTGCCTGCCCTGGAGCCAGGCCCCACGCTGCCACCCGGAGGGAGAGTCTGAGTCCAGGAGCTGGCAGGGAGGGGCCGGGTGGCCACAGGGACAGCAGGGTTCAGTTCTTCCAGGCACCAGGCTGGGCTAGGGGGACGCTCTGGGGGCCACAGCCCTGGACCTCCTGCACTGCTGTGGGATGGAGCACGAGGGGCTTCACTGTGTTGGCCTCACGGGGTCAGGAGCCAAGTGAGGGGCTGACTCAGTGCCCCTCCCATGAAACCCCTTGTCCTAATGGGGAGGGGCAGACTTGCCAAGTCCACTCCTCACCCTCAGGGTGGCCTGGCTGGCAGGTGGGTGTGCTGCCCACCCTGACTCAGACTGCCCCGCCCCACCCCAGCCAGCTGGACCTGGCCCGTGCTTACCACCCTCGCCACATTCTCCACTGTGTGGGGATTTAGGCCCCTACCCTGGAGGGCCCCCACCCCTGCAGCAAACCCAGAGCCCCACTGTTCCAAGTCCACCCCGACTCCCAGAGCACTGTGGGATAGAACAGACCTGTCTTTAGGCCCCTCAGCTGGAAAACTGGGTCAGCTCGCCACTGACCACCCCCAGGGATGGCCCTGCACTGGCCAGCTGAGGCCTAGAGCCTAACCTGTCCCTGCTCAAGCCCCTCCTCCACCCTGCCTCTCACAGCCCCTCACAGCCCAGCCCAGCCTCCCCCCAGGGCCACACAAAGGGCTGTGGTCAGCTGTGGTCCAGGTACGGGGTGGCCCAGCGGGGTGAGGGCTGGAGACGGGAGGGACATGGCCGGGCGGAGAACTTGGGGTAGAAGGTGGCTCCTGACAGTGGAGGAGCAGAAATAGGACCCGAGTGGGGAGGGGATGCCAGGACCAAGGTGCTCCTGACCCCCAGCCCCACCTCTGGATGCCCATGGGAGCAGGTCCTGTCCCGTGCCCTCCCCCCCCCCATGAGACTCACTCTGGTGTTGAATTCCTTGCCAGAAGCACTGGGAACCACAGGTGCCAGTGTGTTGATCAATGACCACTAGCCGGAGGGCAGTCCACCTTCCCTCTGCCAGGAAACATCGCAGCTGACCCAAGAGGGCTGGGTGGCTGGGTCAGGCAGGGGGCTGGCAGACAGGAGGGTCAGAAGGGTGGAATTCCTCCAAATACGGGCCAGCTCTGAGGTCAAGCCCAGGGCAAGTCCGACAGCTATTCCTTTCCAGAACCTTCTGGGGGCCCTCGAGGGGTATACCGGTTGGCGTCCTCCCCAGGTCCTCGTGCTAAGCAGGGGGCAGCTCAGGCCTGTCAGGGAGCAGTCCCTTGGTGGACAGCGCCCACCCTCAGAACTGAGCCTAGAAACAGACTGGCACCCAGGGACTCACCTGCGGGGGAAGTGGGGCGCGTGAGGCCAGAGGGCTGGGGGTGGAGGAAGGTGCAGGAAGGAGGGGCTGCTCAGGTGGGGTGAGGAGAAGGGGGCCAATAGGTGGGGCTGGGGGTCCAGCACAGCCAGGGTCCGGGCTGGGTGTGAGGGTCACCCCTTGGCCATGGCCCCCTCCCCCCGCCACCCGAGGTGGACAATTGTCGCTTGTGCTCCAGCTGCTCCCGCGGTGGGGCACGACCTCTTATCGGGAGATTGCGGAACAAAGGCCTGGAGCTTGTGTTTACTCAGGCGCCTGAGGGCCGGGTCATCTCCAGCTGCAGGCCCAACGGCGTCCGGCTCCAGCAGTCCGTGACTGCACCGCCTGGGGGGGCCCCCAGCATGGTGGGTGAGCCAGGCAGAGCGTCATCCACTGACCCCCCTTGGTGGGAGGCCCGGAACAGGTTTCCAGGAAATCCCAGGCCGGGCACCAAGCTGCCCGCTAGCCAAACACAGGCCGGCCATCGGCTCTCCCCCTGGCCCTGGCCCCGCCCCACAGAGCCTCTGGGTCTCCCAAGCAGCTGGTGTCTCCCTGACTCATGGGGGCAGTGGCCAGAGGCTCAATGTCCCTGCCCTGGGGGACCCCTGGGAGTCTCCAGCCCTGTCTCCTTCCCTCGCCCACATTACCCACACACACGCTGGGCTCATGCCACTAGGACAAGTCTGGGGCCTCCGGGCACCCCTCACTCCCAGAGCTGGGAAGGCAGGGGGGATGGGGCCAGCAGGCCTGTGCCCAGGGCCCGAGATGCCTGTGGGGGAGATGGGCACCCCCCAACCACAGGGTTTGGAAGTCGGTGGTGCAGAGAAGGAGCAGGACCAAGGAATGTCCTGGGGTCCCCATGGCGTTGCTGTTTGGGCATTGGACCGCTAACCACACAGTCAGGGGTTCAAAGCCACCAGCCACTTGGGGGGAGAAAGACGACTGTGTGCAGCCTCAGGTGTACAGCCCTGGGTGCCAGCAGAGCCGTGCTACCCAGTCCTGGAGCGCCTCTGGAGACGAGAGGGGACACAGAGAGGGGTTGTGGACCCCCCGGGGCTGGGGCTGCAGGGAGGGGGTGGCATGGCGGTGGCAGGGCAGTTCCATGGGTTCTGGCGGCTGAAGGGAGTGTGGGCGAGGGTGCCTCCATTCCTGCCTGACTCAGCAGGGGCAACCCCAGGGGCTCCCCACACCTAAGCCCCGGCCCTCACAGCCTCAATTCGCCCAACAGGCTGCATGGCCCAGGGTGGTTTATCAGGAGGCCCCAGCTGCCCTCCAGGCCTGAGGAGTTTCACCTCGAGGTGTGTGCCCCGGCCCTCTCCTCATCCCCACTGCGTACCTTGGCCCATAATGTCCCACCGGGGCCCCACAGCCAGAGGTGAGCAAGGAGGGCAGCCCCCACCCCAAGTTCCATGAGGCCCTTCAGCCAGAGTCCCCCACTCTGCTGAAGGAACCCCCATGAAAGCGGGGCTCCCAAGGCCACCGCGCCCTGTCCACCTGGGCTTGCAGGCCCGGTCCCAATTTGGAGGGTTTGAGCTCCACCCCGGGGCTCAGTCTCTCCTCGGACAAAGGGCCCTCCAAGGTCAAGGCTGTGTGCGAGGCGGCTGCCTGGGAACCCACAGCCTGACGGACGGACGGACAGACGGGCGGACAGATGGACGGGCTGAGTGGTTTCCTTCCACTGCAGGGTCTCTGGGCTTGGGCCCACCTCCCTGGGGAGGAGGGATGGTGCTGAGGGTCCCTGCCCAGGGGCTCTCCCAGAGTGCCAGGAGGAGGGCAAAGACTGGCCCCCTGTGGGGAGGGTGACATCACGTGGGTCCTGGTGTCCGTCCATCCATGTGGCCAGGGTCTGCAGAAGGCAGGCATCACACACTTTCAGGTTGAGAGGGGGCCACCAGTCCCGTCACCAGCACGGCAGCTCTGGGCCACTGGGACCCCAGGGCTAGACTCTCTGTCCACCCTTATTCAGACAGCAATCCCATGTCCTCCCCTGCCGACCCTGATGATGCCGGAGGCAGAGGTCAGCGCATACCCCACACACATCTGCACTGCCCCCACTTCAGAGGGCAGCTCACCCAACCAGCCCAGCGGGGACTCTTGGGCCCAGAACTGAGCCTGACTCTCACCCTCTCCTTGACCCTGACCCTGACCCTCATTTCCACCCTGCTGTGCCCCCTCCAGGGCTGCCTGTGCCCTACCCATGGACAGAGAGGGACAGGGCTAGGCCAGCCTACCCCCGTTTCCTCACTCTACTGGCAGGGTGAGGGGTGCAATTGAGGCCACCGCCAGGCCGCCAGGTTGCCCAAAGCTACTTGGGGTCCACCCCTGCTGGGCAGGGTCCAGTAAGCATCCCGTGGCAGCTGGGAACACCAGGATCATCATGCTGAACCGGTCATGGGTGCAGCTCTCACACCAGGGCCCACCCCCGTCCGCACTGTCCTGCCCTGGACCTGCCTACTACCCACCCCCTCACAAGGCGGGCTTCCAGACGTCATGGAGCTGAGGGGACACCATGAGCTGGGGCCTTCAGGGGTCCTGGGATCCAGGTGGGGGCAGTGCCCCCTGGGTTATCACAGTACAAATGTGTGGCAGAGTAAAGGAGGGGCCCCAGCCAAGACCCTCCAGGCAGCTCTTGGTGGTTGAAGGTGCCCATGCCCACCTGGGGCAGGTGACCTCACCCCACCTGGGGTGCCTTGGGCAACGCTGCTTCTCACTGGGCAAAAACAGGGGAGGTCCTGGAGAGCCCTGCAGGGGTGTGCCAGCCACCCACCCCCTGAGGGGGGGTGGGCGAGAGCAGGCGCTGCTCCCAACCTACTGCAGGCCCCTACGCACACCGCGCTGTGTGTTGATAAAACCCCAGGATCCTGTTTGACCAGCGCCGGGCCCGGCCAGCAGCAGCGGCCACAGGCAGCCAGCGTGGGGTGCGGCAGGGGCAGGGCCCAGCCCTATATAAGGCACACGAGTCCCAGGGTGGCAGTGTCCGGCTGTGCGGTGTCCAGCAGTGGCCTCTCCTCTCACGCCATGCTCGGGCCTCAACTGCTGCTGCTTTCGGGATGGGGAGCCCTGCTTGGGGCTGGTGAGTGGGCCCGCCCGGGCTACAGGGTCTCCCGGGCCTCCACGCCTCACTGGCCGGAACAGCATGGTCACCAGGAACGGGAGGGGGTGGGGCGGCTGCAGGAAATCCTCCCTCCCCCAGGCCGGGGGAGCTGGGGCCAGGCTCAGTGGCCAGGAGGTAGGAGGCTCAGAGAGGGGAACGGGGGCTCCTGGCTGGGGTGCAGGGTATGGAGTAGCCCAGCAGCCCCCACGGGTCTGCGGAGCCCCACAGTGAGCCTGCTGCCTATCTGTAACGTGGAGGGCACCCCGCATGCGAGGCTGCAGAGTGACCTGTGAGCCCCTGGCCTCTCTCAGGAGCAGCCCCCTGAGCTGGGACACACAGTGTCCTCTCCACACTCCCCCTGACACCCCCACCCCCGAGCGCTGGGCAGCCAGTCAGCCCAAGGGTCTCAACAACCCTCCTCCCACGGGCCCTGGTCCACCTGGCCTGCCCAAGCCTGCAGGCTCCTCACCGCCTGACTCCTCTTCCAGGGGCCCACCAGCCTGGGTGCCCGTCACCCTCAGGTTGGCCTCAGAACCAGGGGCCCCGTGGTAGCAGACAAGGTTTGAGGGGTATATCCGGGCAGCCCCCGCCTCCGTGAACTATGTGGAGTGGGGCGGGGGTGCTGGAGGGCTATGGGCTCCCCCACCCCCTCCTGGCTGAATCCAGCCCCTTCTCTTACATAAAGCCCCTCCCTCAGCACTCAGACCCACACCCTTCCTCAGCAGGACCTGAGGGCCTGAGACAGCCTCTGTTTGGGTCCCTAGGGCCCCCAGTGGGAGGCTTTCTCAGCACACAGCCAACCTGGGGACAGGTCACCTGCGCTGCCCTGGGGCTCACAGCTCTAGGGCCAGAGCTAGGGAGGGGCTGGGAGCAGGGTGCTCTAGAGACAGCCATGGATTGGGGGAGCGGGGAGCGGGTGTCCGGGGGCCAGCCATGGATTGGGGGAGCAGGGAGCGGGTGCCCGGGAGCCAGCCATGGGCTGGGGGAGCAGAGAGCGGTGTCCGGGGGCCAGCCATGGGCTGGGGGACAGGAGGGCTGAGGGCCCAGGACCGGGGTCTCGGGGGCTGAGCCCACAGCAGCGAGGCTGAAGGGCAGCAACTCAGCCAGCGTCCTTCTGTGGACCCATTTCAAGCGTCAACCCCCTGACCGGCAGGTGGGGAGGAGGGCCTGCTCTTCAGGGCCCACAGCTGCGGGTGGGGGGGGGAGCAGCACAGAGGGCGGGGGTGGCGCCCTCCAAGCGTGCCAACAGAACAGCCCGTGACCATGCAGCCGCCAAGGGCTGAAGGGGGCAGGCGTTCGGCCTGGAGCCCAGGAGGGGCTGGTGCAGCAGAAGTGCCCCTGGGGCAGGGTGACATCCACCCCTGCTGTGGGTATTTGGGCGGGGGGGAGTCTGTCCACCCTGCTGTATGTGGGGAGGGGGGACATCCACCCCTGGGGTGAGGTGGTGTGGGGAGGCTACAGGCCAGGTGGGGAAGTGGAGATGAGGAGGGGGCCAGAGGGGCAGGGTGGGAGAAGGAGGCACCCATTGAGGGGAGCCAGTGCCAGTGGGGACCCCAGAGTCCCACGTGGGTGGGGTGATGAGCTTATCATGGCCACAGGCATGGGGGCAGGATGAGGGAGGCAGATGGGGCCACCGCCCCCTGAAAGGTGAGGACATAGAGACATGGGCCTTCAGAAAGGGAACCCCGAAAAGAGGACTCCACCCTGTGCCCCCCAGCACCCACAGCCACTGCTCTGTCCTCCCCACCCAGCTGGGCTGTGGAGAGCCACTCTGCAGGGGCACCCGGAGGCACAGATGGGCTGAGAGCCACTCTGCCAGGGGGACCGTGGGGTGGGGGTGACTCAGGCCCTGCTAAGGGTGGGTGACAGTGTATGCTGGGCCAGGGCCACAGGATGCCAGAGGTCCTCGGAAACCAGAGGGGGAGGTTATGTCCATCACTCACCACCCCCCAGGGACTGGGGCTCCCTGAGAGGGACCAGGGCCCCAGGGCAGGGGTGCCGCCCCCAGTGGGAGAGTCCCCTACTGGAGACACAGGGTGTGGGTCAGGGCAAGCAGATGAGCAAGTGTGAGAGTGTGAGGGAGGGAGGAGAGTGAGAGAGAGTGAATCAGAGTGCATAGGTATGAATGAGTGTGAGTGAGTGTGAGATAGTGAATGAGTGAGAGTATATGTGAATGAATGTGAGTGAGAGTGAGGGAGGGAGAGGGAGAGTGAATGAGAGTGCATATGTATGAGTGAGTGTGAGTGTGAGTGAGTGAGAGTGAGTGTGCGAGTGAATGAGTAAGAGTGTGAGAATGAGTACATGTGAATGAGTGTGAGTGAGAGTGAGTGAATGAGTGTGAGTGTGAGAGTGAATGAGTGAGAGTGAGTGAAATGTGACTGAGTGTGAGTGAGAAAGTCAGAGTGAATGTGAGAGTGATTAGAAGGACCAAACCTGAGAATCTGTCCAGCCCTCCCAATACAAACACACACACATACACACAGACACACACACACACACCACTCCTGGGCCTGGGCTCCCACACTAACACTGACACAGTGAATGTTCAGTTCAGGCCAGTGCAGAGGTAGGGTGGCCTGACACTGACCAGTCCCTCATGCAGGTCTCAGTGACACCTCCTTTGCTGACCCCAGCCTCCGGACCCTGAATGACTCCACGGGGACAGGTGAGCACCACACGCAGCCCCCAGGGTCCAGACGGGGGTCTCCACAGGAGGGTCCAGCCACAGAAGGCCCATGGGGCTCATGGCTGTCGGGGACTGGGTGTGTGGGTCTGGGGAGGGCACTCCTGTGCCCTGGCCTGCAGAGGGACACCAAGGCTGGGCTGTCACTTCCTGACTCAGCTCCGGGCAGGGGACACACCAGCCCCTGACTGTAAGGGGCAGCACACACTCCTATAGGGCAGTGAGAAGCAGGCCCTGGCCCCATGCAGGGAGGTGTGGAGCAGGCCCAGCACCTTCCCTGGGAGGTGACTTTTCTGCCCAGCATGGGGTCCCAGTCACAGCGGCCTGGCCTCCCTCCGCAGCGGAGGACAAGGGCTGGTGTTCCACGTGGGGGGCTGGCCATTTCTCCACCTTCGACCACCACGTGTATGACTTCTCCGGGACCTGCAACTACGTCTTGGCGTCCGTCTGCAAGGACGCGTCGCCCACCTTCAGCGTCCAGCTGCGTCGCGAGCAAGGCGGGAGGACAGCCCGCATTATCGTGGAGCTGGGCTCCTCGGTGGTCTTTGTGCAGAGCGGCACAGTCTCCATCAAGGATGTGGGGTAAGGACAGAGGGGCGAGGCGGGGCCAGGTGTGGGCGGGGCCAGGAAGGGGCGGGGTGGGGCCTGGGCGGGCGGGGCCTGGGTGTGTCTGGGCAGGCCGGGTGGGCAGCCCAGCTGAGGTGCTCTCCCCCAGGGTGGTCAGCCTGCCCTACACCAGCAATGGGCTCCAAATCACGCCCTTCGGCCAGAACATGCGGCTGGTAGCCAAGCAGCTGGAGCTGGAGCTGGAGGTGCTCTGGGGCCCGGACGGCTACGTTCTGGTGAGGATGGCGGACGCACAGGTGGCGGGCAGCCCCGGGCCTGCCCTGGGCAGGGCCAGCCTCTTCCCTCTGACCCTCTGCCAGGAATGGGGCCGTGGCGGGAGTCTGGTTTCCCCATCTGGAAAGTGAGAGTGGCCCAGCAAGCAACCGGGGTCCCCAAGGCCACGGCGAGAGCAAATGACCCCCTTCCCGCGCGACGCCCGCCCCCAACGTGACCGCCCCCGCCCCCACGCAGGTGCTGGTGGAGAGGAAGTACATGAGCCAGCTGTGCGGGCTGTGCGGTAACTTTGACGGCGAGCCGGCCAACGAGTTCCTCGGCGAGGACGGTCCGTGCAAAAGGCGCCCGGGGGAGGGGTGGGGGTGGGGTCCCCCGGCGACCTTGTCCCCCGCAGTGCTGACTCCGTTCCGGGCCCCCAGGCCAGCTTTTGGAACCCCACCAGTACGCCAACCTCCAGAAACTCGACGATCCCAATGAGATCTGCGCCTATGAGCCGATCCCCCAGCCCCAAGTCATGCGGGGAGAGCATGTAGGTGGAGGCGAGGGCGCCCCTCCCCCCTTTCCCATACTTCCTTCCCTGATAACTCCAGTGGCTCTCTGCCCAGGCCCGGACCTGCACCCACCTGCTGAACCTGGTGTCCCCCGAGTGCAGCGTGCCCCGGGAGCCCATGGTGAGGAGCTGCCAGGCTGACTTGGCGGCATGCGCCCAGCCAGGCCAGCGCAACTGCAGCTGCGCCACCCTCTCGGAGTTCTCCCGCCAGTGCAGCATGGCCGGCCAGCCGGTCAACAACTGGAGGACCCCAGGCCTCTGCTGTGAGTCCTGGGAGGGGGCGGGCTGGGAGCTCCCCAGAGCAGAGCAGACCTACCCCACTCCACCTCCCAGGGCCTGGGTGGCCCCTCTCACACCCATGCCCCCTCCTCCATCCACCCACAGCCATGGGGCAGTGCCCAGCCAACCAGGTATACATGGAGTGCGGCTCGGCCTACCTGAGGACCTGCTCCAACCCCAGGCACAGCCACCCTGGCTTCTGCACCTTCAGCTGCTTCTGCCCCAAAGGTGAGGGAGACAGACCCCTACCCCTACCATAAGGGCAGGAGGCCCTGTGTCCACTTGGCTCTGGAGGAGGTAGCGTCTAAGTGGACTTCCGGGACAATCCGTGCGGTTCCAGGTGCCTCCTGTGGTCTGCCACTACCCGAGGGGCACCATGGATCCGGGAAGGTGGAGGTAGCCACAGGCGACCATGGCAGCAGAGAATCCGGGGGTGGGGGTGTGGGCAGACTGTGAAGTAACAGGGCTCAAGGGGTTGCCAGAGGACTGGACAGCCAGGGGGTGCTGCCAGCAGAGGGCGTTGGCCCCACACAGGCTCAGGAAGCCCTCCTCCTGCAGGGACGGTCCTTGATGACCTCTCCAAGCACCAAGCCTGTGTGCCCGTCTCCCAGTGCCCCTGCATGCTCAATGGCGCCCTGTTTGCTGCTGGGCAGGTCACCTCATCCGCCTGCAGGACATGGTAGGTGCTGGCGGCAAAGGGGAGGCATGTAGGAGGATGCTGGGCTGGGCGGACGGGGCACACTTGACTTCAATCCCCTTCCCCACTCCCCCCCTGGCACCGCCCCCCACCCCAGCCGGTGCACCAATGGCCTCTGGGAATGTGAGGAGCAGCCCTGCCCCAGCCGTTGCTCCCTGGAAGGAGGCTCCTTCGTCACCACATTCGATGCCAGGCACTACCGCTTCCACGGCACCTGCACCTATGTCCTCCTCCAGGTGAGAAAGGCGGCGGGCCAGGGGAGGGGCGAGGAGCAAGGGAGAGGGGGGCATACTGGAACCCCCACTTGACCCAGTATGTCCCTCTCAGAGCCACCAGCTCCCTGACAAGGGCTCCCTCCTGGCCATGTATGACAAGTCTGGTTACTCACATTCGGAGACCTCGCTGGTCGCCATCATCTACCTGTCTGACCAGGTACGCACACCGTCCAGCCACAGCCCCGGGCGACAGTAGGGCCCCATGACTCAGTCTGCTCTCTCTCCAGGACAGTATCATGATTTCTCAAGATGAGGTGGTCACCAACCACGGGGACATCAAGTGGCTGCCCTACAAAATTCGTAGGTTTCCCGAGCTGGGCAGGAGTGGAGAGGGGAATGGGGAGGGGGGATGCGCAGACAGCCGCTGAGCCGCTGTCTCTCCAGGCAACATCACAGTCTTCAGACAATCGTCCACCCACCTCCAGATGGCCACCTCCTTCGGGCTGGAGCTCGTGGTCCAGCTGCAGCCCGTGTTCCAGGCTTACATCACCGTGGGACCCCAGTTCTGGGGCCAGACTCGAGGTGGGCCCCACACCCCGCCCCTGGCCTGGCCCCGCTGATCCTCCATGTCCGGGGAACTTGCGGTTCCCCAAGCCCAACCTGGGCCTCCTGGCAGGGCACGGTGTCCCTGCCAGCGGACAGCCGCGAGACTGCTTGCGGGTTCCTGCGGCCGGTCCGGGCCCACCCTAGCTGCAGCGCGCTGCTGGGGGTGAGCGTACTGAGAGCCATCTGGGCGGGGCGCGTGTGGGCGGGGCTACGGGACGGGGCTCGCGTGCGCCCACCCACCACTCACGGCCTGGGTGGGTCCAGGGCTCTGTGGCAACTACAACGGGGACACCACCGACGACTTCACCACCAGCATGGACATCACCGAGGGCACCGCCTCACTCTTCGTCGACTCCTGGCGCGCAGGGAACTGCCCGGCGGCGCTCGAGCGCGAGACGGACCCTTGCTCCATGAGCCAGCTCAACAGTGAGGCCCGCGCCCAGGGTGGGGTGGGGTAAAGGTGGGTGGGAGGGGGGCCCACTACCACCTGTCTCCTCAGAGGTGTGTGCCGAGACCCACTGCTCTGAGCTGGTGAGAGAGAACTCCGTGTTCGCCAAGTGCCACTCGGTTGTGAACCCCAAGCCTTTCTACAAGGTGGGCAGGGCCCGTGGGTGTCTGGGGTGATAGGATGAACCCCAAGCCCTTCTACAAGGTGGGCAGGGTCCTTTGGGTATCTTGGGTGATAGGATGAACCCCAAGCCTTTTTTTTTTTTTTTTTTTTGGCTTTACAGAGTTTATTATTTTTCTTTTTTTAAATCATTTTATTGGGGGCTTGTACAACTCTTATCACAATCCATACATCCATCCATTGTGTCAAGCATATTTGTACATTTGTTGCCATCATCATTTTCAAAACATGTGCTTTCTGCTTGAGCTCTTGGTATCAGTTCCTCATTTTCCCCTCCCTCCCCGCTCCCCCATGAACCCTTGATAATTTATAAATTATTATTAGTATTTTGTCATATCTTACACTGTCTGACGTCTCCCTTCACCCACTTTTCTGTTGTCCATTCCCCAGGGAGGAGGTTATATGTAGATCCTTGTAATTGGCTCCCTCCTCCCACCCCCAAGCCCTTCTACAAGGTGGGCGGGGCCCCATGGGTGTCTGGAGTGATAGAGTGAACCCCAAGCCCTTCTACAAGGTGGGTGGGGCACTGCGGATGTCTGGGAGTGAGGTGAGCACCAGGTCTTCTACAAAGTGCGCAGGGTCCCTCAGGTGTTGCGGGGTGCTGAAGGTGAGCCCCACTTCTTATACAAAGTGAGAGGGAGCCGGCATGTTCTGGGGGGACCATTGTGCACCCCATGCTCATAGCTGGCTCAGGGGCCTGGGGAGCAGGACACCCTGGGCCCCCCAGCAGTGCAGCACCCCGCTCTCCACAGAGGTGTGTCTACCAGGCGTGCAACTATGAGGAGACCTTCCCCCACCTGTGTGCGGCCCTGGGGGCCTATGTGCAGCAGTGTGCCGCCCAGGGCGTCCTGCTCTGGGGCTGGAGGGACAGCGTGGACAACTGCAGTGAGTGTCCCAGGGAGGCTCCTGGGGTCTCGGGTCTTAAGGGGGGCTCCTAAGGTACCCTAAGGATCTAAGGGTCCCAAGGCAGGGTCCTGGAGCTTTATCGGGGAGGCCCCAGAGTCCCGAGGGAGCATCCTGAAGGACACTCTCACACCCCACAGCTGTCCCCTGCACGGGCAACAGGACATTCAGCTACAACAGCCAGGCCTGTGAGCGCACCTGCATGTCTCTGTCTGACCGCTCCCTTGAGTGCCATCCAAGTGCAGTGCCCGTGGACGGCTGCAACTGCCCCGAGGGCACCTACCTGGACCATAAGGCGGAGTGTGTGCGCCGGGCACAGTGCCCCTGTCAGCTGGACAGCCAAAACATCATCCTGGCGGGCCAATCCATCGTCATGGATGGCGCCACCTGGTGGGGCCCAGCAGACCTCCGGGTGGGGATGGGGCACCCTGGCAGGCAGCACCCCCACACCTCAGGCTTGGGCCACTAACAAAGCCTCTCTCTCTTACAGCTACTGCCACAGCGGCCGGCTGACCTGCTCCGGCCAGCCCCCGATGCTCCTGGGTGCGTAGTGGCGAGAGGAGGTGGGGACTGCCTGCTGTGAGCATGTCTGACCGCCGCCCCTCCACCTCCCGCAGCCACCTGCAGAGCCCCAAAGACCTTCCAGTCCTGCAGCCAGTCCGAAGACAGCAAGTTTGGGGCAGCCTGTGCCCCTACATGCCAGATGCTGGCAACAGGCACTACCTGTGTAAGGTTCCCACAGGAGTGGCACCCTCCACAGGTGGATGCCCCAGTGGACACCCCCACAGTTCCCACTGGACCCTGAGAGGATGTCCATACAGAGAGGGCAGCCAGCCTCCCTGCTCCATCTCCTCATCAGGACCCAGGGATGTGCCCTGAGCAGCTCTGAGGGCCACCGGGAACTGGGTGGGCGGGGAGGGGTTCCAGGCACCCTACTAGCCAGGGTGGGCAGGCGGGCTCGGCCAGGATCTCTGAGCCGGGGGCAGCCTGCAGATATCACAGATGGAGGGTGGGCAGTGAAGCTGGCTGCAGGAAGCAGCCAGCGGTCCTGGCAAGATGTTGGGGCGGGGTCCCCACAGGGGTCCAGGGGCCAAACCCCACATTCAGAGCACCCCTGCCCTCTCCTCAGACTTCCAAAAAGTGTGAGCCTGGCTGCGTCTGTGCTGAGGGCCTCTATGAGGATGCCAATGGGCAGTGTGTGCCCCCCGATGACTGTCCCTGCGAGTATGGGGGGACCTCCTACTCCCGAGGTGCCAAGATCAGCCCAGACTGTCAGACTTGGTAAGGTGCACCCTGCTCCTCCCCCTCCCATACCCCAGCCCAGCCCAGGAGGACAGTGGTCTGGGCAGTGGGGGTCTCAAGGCACTGGGAGCAGTCTGGGGCAGACCCCTGGGTGTTGGGTGCCTCAGCCTGAGCTGGCCTCCTCTCCCCAGCACCTGTGAGCAGGGAAAGTGGGTGTGCGAGCCGAAGCCCCACTGCGCCTCCACCTGCACCCTCTATGGGGAGGGCCACGTGGTCACCTTCGACGGGCAACGCTTCCTGTTTGACGGCAACTGCGAGTACACCCTGAGCACGGTAGGGCCCGCCCTGGGGGCCACGGGGCAGAAGGGGGGGGGGCACATGGACCCCACCTCAGAGCCTGTCCCTCCCCACAGGATGGCTGCAGCGCCAACAACTCCCGGCCCACTTTCAAAGTCGTCACGGAGAACGTGGTCTGCGGGAAGTCGGGGGTCACGTGCTCACGGGCCATCAAACTCTTCTTAGGGGTGAGTGGGCAACGCTCGCTAGCTGCCACCCCTAGCCTGGCAGCCCTGGGTGGCAGGGCGGGAGTGGGCCAGACTGGGGACCGCTGACCCGCGTTGCCCCGCAGGGTCTGTCCATCGTGCTGGCCGAGAGGACCTACACAGCCAGCGGGCATGACGCCCAGGTCAGCTTCCAGGTGCAGCCGGGTTCCCTGCACCTGGTGCTGGACGTCCAGGTCGGCAGCAAGTACAACTTGACGCTCATCTGGAACAAGCACATGACGGTCCACATCAGGGTCTCCCGGGCCTCCACACAGGTACCCTTGGTGTGGGTGGGGCGGGGCCTGTGGGGAGGCGGGGCCGGAGCTGTGCCACTGCTTTGTCGTGCAGGATGCCCTCTGCGGCCTGTGTGGGAACTACAACGGGAACATGAAGGACGACTTTGAGACCCGCAGCAAGTACGTGGCGTCTGGCGAGCTGGACTTTGTGAACTCATGGAAGGAGAACCCGCTGTGCGGAGACACGAACTTGGTGGTCGACCCCTGCAGCCTCAACACCTTCCGGCGCTCTTGGGCGGAGCGCAAGTGCAGCATCATCAACAGCCAGACCTTCGCAGCCTGCCACAACCAGGTGAGGGCGGGGGCCCTGCCCAGGGCTTCCATCGTGGAGAGGTGACTGCCCCCAGGAAGCCAACACCTGTGGGCCCACATCTAGCGGTCAGGCCTGCCACAGCCCACCCCAGGCCAGAGTGTTCTAGCCCCAAGATGAAACAGACACACACCCCAATGGCTGGGGAGGTGGGGGCAGGGAGCGAGGGCCAGGTGAGCGTACCCGCTGGAAGAGTTAGGGACACTTGGGACCACTATGGACCAGAGACACCTGCACTGGAGGGGTATTCTACATGAGTGGGGCAGCAGCACCCCCATAGGTACCTGTTCACTAGGTGGCCCTATCCAGCTGCAGGGAATCTGGGTGGGGGGAGGAGTTAGGCGGCCAGAAGTGGTCTCACATCTGCAGGTCCTGTGGCTACCACCAGCCTGCCGGCCACTAGCTGTGCCCTAGCCTCAGGAGGGCCTCTTTGTAGGCATAGAAGGGGTAGCGAGGGGCCCAGGAGCATGGACCTTGGTCATCCGGCCTGAGAGTGGTGACCATGAGTGACCCACAAGGTGCGGAGGGCTGAGGCACACGCCTGCTTCATGTTACCTGGATGCGTCCCCACAGGTATACCACTTGCCCTACTATGAAGCCTGTGTGCACGACGCGTGTGGGTGTGACACGGGTGGGGACTGTGAGTGTCTGTGTGACGCAGTGGCCGCCTATGCCAAAGCCTGCCTGGACAAGGGCGTGTGCGTGGACTGGAGGGCCCCCGACTTCTGCCGTGAGTACCGCCCCTGCCGTCTCGCCCCAGGGCCCCGGGTACTCGCCTCATATGCATGGCCCTGGATGACCTCAATGTCCTCCCTGTTGTTCCTGGGCAGCCATCTACTGTGACTTCTACAATACCCACACGCGGGTGCCCGGGGGCAGCAAGTACCAGTACGCACAGGACGCCAACTGCACGTGGCACTACCAGCCCTGCCTCTGCGCTGACCACCTGCAGAGCCACCTGCAGGCCAACATCGAAGGTACAGGCCGCCATGGTCCCATCTGAGCCCATCCTTGCTTGAGGACAGGGCTGGCAGCGGAGTGGCCAGCAGTGTGACCTCGGGGACTGCCCTCTGTACTCAGAATCCAGAGACAAGTGATCAGTAGAGCCTGGGGGCCAGTGCAGGAGAGGGGGTGGAGGTGGGGGGTCAGGGGCAACAAGGAGGGGGGCCAGGAGGGACTAGAAGGCCTGGTGTTGTACAGCCTTCAAGTGCCAGGGCGGGCCAGGATGGGAGCAGCACCTGGGCCCACAGCCGCCATGTCCTCTGCCCCAGGCTGCTACAACTGCTCCCACGACGAGTACTTCGACCCCAGCGAGGGCTCATGCGTGCCCTGCGGTGAGTTCTGGTGCCTCTGTGCCAAGGAGAGGCAAAGCCAGCTCTGCCTTCTTGTCCCCATCAGCTCACAGCCACTCTGGGCCCACTACTGCCACCCAGTGTCCGATACAGGAAACGCACGACCGGGCTTTGGAGCAGCCAGGAAGGGGCTGTGTGCGAAGGCGGCAGTGCCCAGGAGGGGCCAAAAGGGAGGGGGCTCGTGTCCTCCCAACCCCCACCTCCCCACTCCCACCCCCACAGGCCTACAGGGTTGGGAGGGGCTGGACCGTAAGGGGGGGCCGGGTAGTGGCCCTTGCAGCACGGTGACCAGCTTACTGTCCTTGCAGCCCCGGCCACCACGCCATCCCCACCCATCACAGGTGATTGTACGCATGCTAGGTGCCAAGGTGACGCCCTCTCACCCTGCTCCCTTGCTGTCACCAGCATGCCCACAGGCGGGTGGAGGGGTTGGGCGCGTGGACTTGGGCTGCCCAGGGGCCTAGGATCCCCAGTGCGGGGCTTCAGATGGGGCTTGGAAATAAGTCTGGGTAGCAGCAGTCTGCCCCTGGCAGCAACGCACTGGACGCCCGAACTCCAGGCAGAGTTCCAGAGGACTCCGCCCGCTCTGCCAGAGGGGGCCAACCCTCCCTGCCCAGCAATGACTCCCACATGGTACCCACAGCCTCACCCTCCACGGAGGCCCCACCTACTACGCCTGTCAGGACAACCCCCAGCACCAGTGGGCTGACCAACAGCTCGGCCACACCTGTGGGCCCTACGGAAACCGCTAGCCTGCCAGTCAGCTCCAGGGCCACCCCTCAGGCCTCACCTAGCAAGCCGACCGTCCCAACCTCAGCAGGTAGTATCTCCTGGGCCCAGCACCTTCGTGGGGGACACTTGGCAGTTTCTGCAAAGGCTTTCTCAACAGAATAAGCCCGCCACAAAGGAGATCAATGCCTGAGACTGGACAGTCCCTCAACAAGTGGATAGGCCGCGAGGTGGGGGGAGGGCGGTTCCCCACCCCCGCCCAGCAGCGGCCCAGGCCGGGGGCCTGTAAGGGGCTGGCCAAGGGCAGGCATGTGGGCAGGGACAGGTAGTGAAGCCCCTAGCCCGCCCCAGGCTGCAGAGCTGGCTCTTCAGGGTGTCCACAGGGTGCAGTGAGAAGCTGGGGAGCACGGTGTGGTATGGGCTGTGTGGAGGTATTGAGGGTGACTTTGGGTGTGGCAAACTCTACAGAGTCCCCCGGAAGTACAACAGCTGTCACCTCACGAGCCACCTCGGCACCGAGTCCCACGTCCACACTGGGTATCACGTTCACTAGAGCTCCCATGACCAGTGCCACGAGTCTGCCCACAGCATCCCATCCCAGCGTGGCCACACAGACCACAGCGCGGGCCACAGCACGTACCACGGCACCTACAGTGAGGCCGGCAACACCGGAAGAGACCTCGGGGTCTCCCCCAGGTGAGCGTGCCCACCATGAAGGCGGTGGGAGCATGCGGAGGAGGGCCTAGTGCCGCGAGCACAGCCTCTCCCGCTGACTCCAGAGCTGGCACCCAGCCCGTGACCCACTCCTGGGTAGTCAGCGGCCAGCAGGCCAGGAGAGGCGGCCTCAGCCTTGGTGGCGGGAGGGCGGGGGAGCACAGAGGAAAGCAGGGCAGAGGGCACAGCAGACCAAGTCGCAGGTACTAAGGGTAACAGCACACGGGGGCTAGGTGGAGCTCAGGCTGAGGAGGAGGAGGGGACGGTAGCAGGCGAGGAGATTCCAGGGGCAGGGAAAGGGGGCCCAGGTCTGCAATTCCATCGGGCGATGACAGAGAGGGCCACAGAGAGGCCCCTGATTATCAAGGCCAAGCACACAGGGCTCTGGAGGCTGCAAGTGAAGATAAGAGACGTACGCGGACCACACAAGGGCTAGCCTAGTGCAAGGGCGAGCAGCCCAGGAGCACATCAAAAGTGAGGACAACTGCATGGAACAGGAGGGTGAACACTCAGGAGCCCAGGTGGGAGGGGGGACACACCGGGCCGCAACCAGGAGGTCCCCAGGCCCCAGAGCCAGCATCTCCAAAGCAGGAAAGCGGGCCTGGCACCTCACACATGCCCAGCCTGGAGCCCCGCCTCCAGGCAGTGACAGGAAGGGCAGCACAGGTAAAGTCAGAGGCAGGGGAGGGAGGACAATGACCCAATCCTGTCCCCACAGCAGCGTCCCCACACACCGGGACCACGGCCACCACTGGAGAGCAGAGAACAAGCACAATGCGGCCGCAAACCACACTGCCCACACGAGCCCCACCCGCTTCCACATCCTCGGTGATCCCAACCTCTCACGTAGTTGTCACCCACAGTCCCGAATCCACGGGTACCTCCACTGCTCCCACATATCCAACTCACACCGCTCTGCCCACCTCTACCTCCATCCACACAGGCACAGGACCTACGCCCTCCTCCCAACCTCTGACCGAGACCACACGTGGCACCACACCGATGCACAACTCCATCAGCACAGCCAAAACCACCAGTTCGCCTGTATCCCACCTTCCCTCCACAGGGCCACAGCCATCTGTCTCACGGGCTCACACCTCCACACCCAAGCCCACTGGTGGAGGCACAGTTCCCTCCGTGCCACACACGACCACTGCCTCCACCACAGACCCCTTCACTACGTACTCCACACCCACTGTCTCTTCCTCCTCCTCCCATTCCACCAGTCGCCCCACAGGGACATCCTTTAAGACCACCACCACCCCACCACATTCACACCCTGAGACCACGCCGCCCACTCAAGTCCCACCCTTTTCAACTTCCTCAGTCACCACAACCTCTCATCTAACTGTCACCCACAGCCCTGAATCCACAGGGACTTCCAGTGGTCCCACATATCCATCCGGCATCACTCTGCCCACCTCTACCGCCATCCACACAGGCACAGGACCTATGCCCTCCTCCCAACCTCTGACCGAGACCACACATGGCACCACACCAATACACAACTCCATCAGCACAGCCAAAACCACAAGCGCCCTTCTGCCCCAACCTCCCTCCACAGGGCCACACACATCCGTGTCACCGGCTCACACCTCCACCACACCCAAGCCCACCGGCGGAGGTACAGCTACCCCCGTGCCGCACACCAATACGGCCTCCACCACCGGCCTCTTCTCTACATCATCCACATCCACTGTCTCAGCCTCCTCCTCCTCCCACAGCACC